CTCGCACTTGTGATCATATGGCTCGCTGGCTCACACTTTGGCAACACTCTTTGGCAGTCAACTCGCCCCTAGAAAACCCGCCCTTGGAAACTTGCCCCATAAAAAAATGTACACTTCCTAGACCATGCAGTCTTCAAAATAAAAATTGTAACCTTTGGTCAACTACATTTTCCACATACTGTACATAGAAATTTTTGAAACTTTATTTTAAAAAACCTAAACCATAATTATTACTACAGACACTTTTTGACAAAATGAAACATTACGGCTTATTGTTACTCAATGAGAAGTGTTCTAATATAGACAATGGGTCGTGTCTCATATTATTTGTTATATTTTTATTATTCATTATTTTCACTTGACTCGCATAAATAATTTGTTCGAAGAACATTTATATGCAGTTGTACTTCGCAGCACTTCACTTGCAAGTTGTTTGGTCAAACCATTTAAAAAAATTACTGTAAAACATGTCTGAATTTTACATGCTCATTTTTAAGCGAGTCGGATTTTCAAAAGAAAGCCACAGCAAATAGTCTTTAATTAGAGTTACTTTATAGTACGCCAACCGCGTATGCTTTAAATTTTAAACGACTTTTAGTATTAACTATTTCATCATTAAATACCGGTTAATTAAAAGCATGCTCCTTTTGACATAATGAAATAGTTCGGCTATGTTGGGTCTTGCAAACAAAATCCAGAATGCGCATTGATACAGTTCGATTCCGTGTGTGTTATCATACAACAAACAAGTGTCACAGCCTGTTTCTATCGCGTCACTATACGGCCGTTTGTTTAGTATTATCTATAAAGGGGCTTTCTATAAATAGGCCTTCACTCTCATCACATGTTGTATTTTTAAATGTTCACAAAATTCACATTCAATTTTTACGTTGGTAGTTGGTCATCGTATTTATAATTTTTATAAAAATGTCGCATTTCTTGTTCGGACTATTTTCTATTTATGTTTGATCATGCGCCGGGTTTTTCCAAATCGCATCCATATCAATCTCATCATGCATAAACTTGATTATACCAGCACAACAGTTGGTTTCCGACCAAACTAGGTCGACATTTTATACACGTCTTTCAGCAAGGGGATGAATTATTACATTTATTTTATAGGCCTATATTAATACAAATAATGTAAGTATAACGAGGTAAAGATATATAGAAGAATCGGGCGTGTTCCGTGACTACTGTAGCAACCGTAGAGAGGCACTTTAACTTCATAATATACACCATATTCATACCATGCAACATTATGAAATTAAACCAGAGCATTAGGGTAACACCACACCTTACTCTTACGAAAAATGCACACGAGCCAGATGTGCACCTGTCTCTTATACACATCTAGATGTGTATAAGAGACAACCTCCAGAGCTATAGGCGAGCCGTTATAAAATACTTCAATTTAAAACTTCATATTTACACTTAAAAAAACCAATTAAGTAATAAATAACAAGAATAAGAAAATTATATATACAGCTTTATAGGCCTATATGTATATATGTATGTATATGTATGTATGGGTGTATATGTATATATGTGTGTATGTGTATGTATATGCGTATATATGTATGTGTATGTATATGTACCGGTATATAATATAATATGTATGTGTATGCCTAGGCCTATACCATGTATAAATCAAGTAGTGCTTAAATACATAGGAACGTGATGTTATAAATCGTGTCAAACATAGTTTATCAAAGAAAGTCCCTTATTTATGGTTGTATGAAAAAGGGAGGTCTCTATAGTGGGAATCGAACCTGCAATCTCTCGCTATCTGGGCTAGTGTCATACCGTTTAGACCACAGACGCCTGTACGATATCATTACATATCACCACAAGTCTCTCTCCCGTCATACAACTTGAGGCCTCACACATGTAGAGCCAACTTTTAAGCACGCACAACCAGATAGCAGCTGGTAAATCATAGGAAATAATATTCCTATATATATATATATACATATATATATATATATACACATATATATATATACTATATATATACTATATATATACTATATACATATACTATATATATACTATATATATATACTATATACTGTATATATATACTATATACTGTATATATACTTGTCTCTTATACACATCTAGATGTGTATAAGAGACAGTATATATATATATATATATATATAATGATACAACTCTAATTTGTCTTGCGGTAATGCTGTATAAATACATTTTTAAACGATAAAAAGAGGAATCTGCGAGTGTGAAAAAAAGTGAACCGGGACCTTATGCTGTCTAACCAACTAGGCCATTGAGGCTTTGTTGAGAATTCAAATCCGATTGAAGTACAGTACCTAATCATTTCTAATTATTTTACACTTATATGCGTATGCGTATTAGACAGCACTAGTCCTTGATGCATGAACAGATCAATATGATACGCCCTCTTCTTATCAGCAATTTACGAAAAGACCAGGTCTCCGAAGAGTTGTTTTTTATAATTAGATAATGATAAAATAGAGATAAACTCTAAACCTTCTTGCGGTAATCCTGCAAATATACATAACTACATTTGCAAACGTTAAAGAACAGTAATCTGCTGGGGGAGGGGGGGGGGAACCCAGGTGGCCTAACCGCCGATTCGAACCCGGGATCTTCTGCCGCCTAAGTAGATGCCTTAACCAAGTAGGCCATTGAAGCTTTGTTGGGAATTCAAATCCGATTGAAGCACTCTTTCATCAATATTTTTCATCAACGTTTAAAATTTATTTATAAATATTTACAGCATTTTTTTCATACTCGCAGATTCCCCTTTTTTCTGTGTGTATATATATATATATATATATATATATATATATATATATATATGTGTGTGTGTGTGTATATATATATGTATATATATATATAT